AGACTTTGACTGCCAAATATTATACAGACAACAGCTAGTTGTGGGGTGTACCCTTTGTACCTGCCTCTAAAATGTCTATTATAATAGTTACTCCAAATGTAATACATAGCGTCATAAACATGCTTATATATATGTATATATTTTTTTTTCTGCTCTAATATATAATATTTTCTGCTGTACAGAAGTAAGGAATATTAACAAAAGTTAATATGTATATCTCCAAGCTAGACACAGAAGGCTGCCTTGTTTTTCAAGCATTCTAGGCTGTATATATATTATTAGACCGGGACTAATCTTCTATCTAGATTCCCAGGTAAGTTCTCCAAGAAGAAAGCTGTCTAGGAAATGCACAGGGTAGACCTTTTTATGTCTCTGTATTGGTAAGCATCAATTCTTTTCAGAAGAAGAAGGTGTTTTTCCCTGAGAGCTGTGCCACAGTGAGGGAAGTCTTCTACCCTTTCAGCCTTTCTCTTTTGACAGCCTGTTCCATATGGAGGTCCTTTGTTCATATTTCATCATTAACAAAACCACAAGCAAGCCTCTGCCCCGTAGAGTCCTGATATATGGTGTCACCTGTGAAGATGTGTAACATACATATGAAGATGTGCAACATTTACTCTATGTTTGTATTTTATCTATTGCATATTTTAGATATTTACCATCCTTTCACCAAACTTCAGTTCAGATACTCAGAAAAGTAAGTAGGATTTCCACATGGAAACTTTCCTTCTGGAGACCTTTCAAGACATTTTCCTCTCCGCACTGATTGAGAAAGATCAGGTATTGGTGTTAGTGGGACTGCTCTTTTGAGCCTTGAATTGTTTGAATTTCACTCTCAGGTTACATGCCTATACAAGGCAGATGAGATTGTACATGCAAGAGTTTCTATCCAAAATATTAGAATAGCCCTCTATGGACATCTGGTGGTGCACGAGGAGATTTTGGAAAACGATAACCAATCAAAAACATGAATTTCATAATATAACTGGTGTTTTCTACTTGTCAACATCCCTGATGTGCTGCTAGAATGTTATTGGAGACCTCAAGTGTTCATAGCCTATTGAAGCAAAAGGATTATGCTTTCACAGCTCCCGCAATGGTTGTACCCTCCTGTTCATTGCATGAAGGGAGGAAAAGATACTAAGAAATTGGGGGGTTTACAGTATTATTAGTTTTATACATGCAATCAACCCAATCATAAGTCAGAAAGAATTAAAAGCACAGTCACTCAAACTGAAATGTAAAGAGGCAGATTTCATTGCACTGATTTTTATTTTCTTTTTCTTAAGTACTTGTTGAAGTGATACATGAGAGCAACAAGACAGCTTAATACAGCTAAGTGCAGAAACAAGTATCTTTCTCTGTGGCCAGGCAGCTATCAGTTGAGTATCTCTATCTCCTGACTCTATTGCCAGTCCTTGCAGATGTGCATCAGGATAGCGTTTTTGTTAAGTATTTCACATAATTGGCAAAATAAAGTGTAGCATTCTGTCTCCTTCTGGAGGGGGAGGAGAAAATGAATTATGGTTTTGATATGTCTTGAGGCAGATTTAAGGGGTTAAATATATTTACAATATCAAAGCAGTTAGAAAGTCAAAACATGTCAGTGGTTGCTGGGTGAAACTAGATTCATCCAGATGTTCCTCTCTATTTTTCTGTAATTACTTGTGGTCACTCTCCACCCAGCAAGTCAGCCACGACAGGAGATGACACAAGTTCAACGCCTCCATTGGCAGTAGCTGTGGAGATGGAGACCCTCCACCTCCCTGTGAGAGTCGGCAGCTGTTTGTTGGGTCATATTTCATGTTGGCAACATTTTGTCAGCCAGATGCTATCCTGGTCTATTATCTGTGTTCCTCTCATTTTAAAACTGACTTTTCTCTGAGTTATTGACAAAAGAGAATGAGCAGAACCTGCTTATGTGTATTTAAATATGAGCAGCTCTGGAAGTAAAGACAAGCAGTGCTTGGAGAGGGAATAGAAGATGATCTTATCTGTTGAATGATCACTTTCCAGCCTAAGTGTCTTTTTCTTCAACCTGCTCATTGAACATGCAACTGGAGGCTTTATTTCCTTCATTGCTAAGCCCTGTACTGGCCAGAGAGGAATTTTACTGGATCTATTACTGCTATAGGTTTTTGTATAACTTTGTATTCTTTGATAGCTAAATTATCAGGAAATGAATACAGCATTGTTGGTTACTGCTGGAAGATGTATGCTGAATTTGATGGACCAGTCCATTACTCTGGCAGACAAATCTCTTCTCCTGTTTCAAGCTAGAAACTACAAAGTTGAAAATTGCTCCTGGCTCAAAGTAATGAAAACACACCATATTCTCTTCATGCTGAATCCATCACAGAGTAAAAGTATATTAAGTCTCAAGTCAAATGACTTCCCAATTAGCCAGCCAGGTTTGTATTCATGAAAAATGCAAATTACATATGAGTGATGAGATCTTGTATGTGTTACTGTTTTGCAACCTCAGACTTTTTAGTTTGAACGTTAGTAATAAATAATGCTTCTGAGTGCTCATGCTGTTAAATTGCTTGCTGTTGTGAATACATCTCTTCACTATCTGCAGGTGCAACAGTGACAGTATAGGCAGTGTTTATCAGCCCTAAAGTGGTGAAATAGGAAAGAAGGGAAGATACTTCCTGGCAATGTCTTTCTGAAAAAAACAGTGAATCTAGACATTATGTTATGTTCAGGAACTCAATAGTGCACCTGGTTATAGGTGGGATGTGTCAGATACTTCTTCCTCTGCTCATTCTTCCTCTACCTCATTCCTCTCTTCTCTCTTAGAAACATCCTTATTTAATACCAAAAAGAGTTGTGTCAGTTTTTGGAGTGAGCAGAGGGAGACATTATCGCATAGTTACTTATGTAAAGGGACCAGCCTTACAAGTTCTAGGTATTGGCTCCCAGCAGGCTGCTGCATGGCTCAGCAGTAACTCCCCTCTTCAAGGGCATTGAAATGCTACACTTGAAATATAGGTCCACTTACAGTCTGCGTGCATCACTTCTGAAACAAGTTTGCTTTTCTTCTTGTATCCACTTGATGTTTTGGTTCTTTTTAATATATTTGCATACTTTTATATTTCAGACATTTAAAGGATATACACTGGCCACACTTGCATGCTAGACTGCTGGTCACATATTGTATAATTGCATTTTAAAATTATGTTTAGCAGACCTCCTAGTCTGCTTAATCCACATACTACCTGGGGAGCTGCAGGCCCTTCCAGACAGTGTCTGCACCTATTGTTATTCTGTTTATTTTCCCCTTAAGAGTGAGGGGATTGTGCAGAAGTTAGAGTCAATCTAATTTATGATGCAGGTATTTCTTTTGTGATGCATACAATATTGCAAATAAATCTAGTTGAGAAAAAGTTTCATGCAATTTTTGTCATTAATTCCTCTAGCTGATGACCTCTCTCTGACTTGCCAGCTAGTTTCAGACCATTGTCTAACATCCACTCTTGTATCTCATGCTTGCTCTCAGAGTTGTTGAAGAGAATGCTGTATTATGTCAGAATAATGTGTGTAAAGATGTTTGACAAAATAAACCTTACAGGTTTATGAGCGACAATACAGCTTGGAAAGAATCTTTCAGTGGCAACAAGAACATTTCTATCTATATTTTTCAGTCTGTAAAGGAAAAGTTATGTATAATTTGCACATTTCAACAGATAGCCAGTTTCTTTCTATATGGTAATAATGTTCCTCTAGATTGCTGCTACCTAGGTCATGCCAGGTGTCTTCACTCCCAGTTTAGTAGAGGAGCAGACAGTCTTGATGCAACAATGAGTCGTTTCATTTTCTCAAGGAAGACAGGACTATTTGAAAAAGACAGAAGAGTTGGTAAAGTGCACCAAGGAGTTATGCAAGGATTACCTCCTCCCGACTCAGGAGTGATGCATCCCAGTATAGAGGAAGTTGGGCAAAAAAGCCAAGAGGCCTGCATGGATGAACAAGGAGCTCTTGGACAAACTCAAACAGAAGATGGAGGTCTACAGAGGGTGGAAGCAAGGACAGGTAGCCTGGGAGGAATATAGAGAAATCATCTGAGAGGCCAGAAATCATGTTAGGAAATCCAAAGCCCTGTTAGAATTAAATTTGGTAAGGGATGTCAAGGGCAACAAGAAGGCTTCTATAGGTACATTGGTGAAAAAAGGAACACAAGGGAAATTAAATTTAACTCACACTATACAGAATATTTTCTCCACTCCAGAGATAAAGAAAGGAATGAGAAATGTGAGAGTACTTCAGAATAAAGTCCTATAGGTCCATGTGATAAAACAGCAACCATAATCAACCCATGGCAATTGCACTTTAAAACACAAAGTTATTTAAGTGGGGATCATGCAAGGCTAGATCAAACCTTCAAGACTGAGGTGATATTTACAACAAGAGTGTAATCTCAACATCTAACAATATTTAAATGGGTTTTGGTCTTAATCTTTGTATGTTAATCCTACTTATGAAAACTGTATTTTCATTGCCACTTGCAATGAAACTTGGTCATGTTCCCTGAGAACAAAGAGAACTTATAGTTACATATTTTATTTCAAATAAATTACTTCATTTTTCTTTCTATTCTCTATAAAATTGGGAAATTTGACACTAAAAGCGATAATTTCTAGAATTTCAAAAATATGCTATAAAATTAAAACTGAAGAAGGTGTTCATAAGGTATTATGGAACTACTATATTGCCATTATTTTCAAATGCAGAAATTGTAAACTCATAAAAAATATTATGAAATTCATTTGGTGCTTAATCTAAAAGAAGCTCAGCCATGATGAGTTAGGAATTAAGAGGTTTGAACTCTACCTTGGCTTTTGGGGGCGGATTTTCAGTGCCTGGAAAATGCCTAATGACATACTGAACTGTAACAAAAGCATAAGCCTGCCAGATGGGTTTCCCCATCCTTGCTCACGGGAAGCACCTGGGTCACAACCTCTTGGACTCCATCTCCAGCACCTGAAGGACCAGCAGGTATTTGGGAATAATCAAGGTGGATTTTCCAGCTGCAAATTTCACCCGACCAACCTTGTCTTCTTCTACAACATGACTTATATTGGTTATATGGATGAGAGGTGAGTGTAGACGTAGTACAAGCTTAACTGCAGGAGGGCCTTCTGATACCATCTCTCATAGATTTCCTACCTAAAAGATGAGGGGGTGCAGGCTGGAAAAGTAGACTGCAGAGTAGTCTGAGAGTTTGCTAGTGCACTGGATAGTTTTTGAACTATGTAAATATTTTCCTTAGCTCTTTTAATTTCTTCTTCTACTCTTTCTGCCAGATAGGGCTACCCTGTTATGTTAAATCTTCATTAAAAAAAAAAAACAAACAAACAAAAAAAAAAAAACAACAAAAAAACTTACAAATAAAAACTGCTTCTTCACAACATCCAAATTACTTAGCTTCAGAAATGTCTTTTCAGAAGAACTGGATATTTGTGGTCAGTAACATACAATAATAATACTATGTTACCGAGGAATGTAAAACTAGAAATATGTTAAAAACTATTTATCGTTAGAGACATTTCTTTGGCTATTTTTCAAATCATCTGAGAAAAGTAATCCATTTTTATTGAGATCTTAAATATATATATATATATATTTACACACCAATGTAAAAGTTTTTGGAGTGAAAGGAAGAGGACAAGAAATCTGCAGGTACTATCAAAATTCTGTTTTAAAGACATGAAAAGATTAAAAGGAATTACTGTCGCTTTCTGTCAAGAAAGAAATTGATTAATTGCAGGTTTTATCGTCATGAAGAACTTCAGGAAGTGTAGCTCATTACTTACATTTCAAAGGTAGCAAAAGTTCTAGGAGGACTTGCAGAAGACAAGGTTTTGTCAACCTTGTGAGGAAGACGTGGAGGGTGGAAGAGATGTGCTTAGAGGGTGTGAATGTGCTCTGTCTGATGTTTGAATCAGACACAGGTTTGTCTTTTACTTAGATATTTTCAGAATTTTCTTTGCTTGCAGTTAAGGAAATATTTACAGAAGAGAGAGCAGGGGAAGGAGTGCTAGTATGAGTAGAAGATGGCTATGATCAGACAAACTCACTATTTTCTTATAAGTAATGTACATACGTGTGTGTATTAGTAGTGGAAGAGCAAGGTTGTACATAGGGTTCTCCTCAGTGAAGGGGGAATGAGAGCTTTGCTTACTTTGCCATTAAGTTTTATTTATTTATTTATTTATAATTTAATATACCGATGTACAGAAGTACATAGGTGTCTGCACAGAGGCAGACAGAGAGGGGGAACAGCTGACATTACAGCTTATGCTCATTTGAATGTCTGGCTCCTGAGTCCCTCACTATTGCTGCTGAGAACACAAAAGTCTCACCATTTTAATCAATTTCAATTTCAAATTTAATCAATTTAGTTAATTAATCAATCAAAAAAAAAATATATTAGCACTATTTCAATCAGTCTTGCTTAAGACCTGTCTGCATGGGAAAGTTAGCATGAAATATGTAAGACTTTGGGTTTCAACTGGAAAACATAGCCTGCTTATAGCAACTTTCATTTGACTTCAATATTATTTTTCTTCCAAGATTTTAGGCATCTCTTTTTCTGGAACTAGACCATGCTAACATTTAAAAAATCTGTGAGGATATATATTTTATTGAATGTGAGACACAAATTCTCACTGTTTACTCTCTTACCTGACCAAAAATCAGACTGTGTCAAAATAAAAACAAATCAAAAGGAATCTACTCCATTGCTCAGGTACAAGTGGGACTACCCTGTAAGATTTTGCATTTAGATTCTGCATGTTATGAATGAAGTCGCATAGCTTTGTTTTGTACTGTACCTACAATGTACAGCATACAACAAATTCCTCTCTATTTTTAGATCACTTGTTCCTAAGATAAGGATTTTTTTTTCAGAATCTTTTTTAGGTCTTCCAATATTAAAATAATATTAAGAAGATATCTAATTTGCAGAAATTAATGATGCAGAAGTGTACAGTAGGACCAATGGTACATTTTCAAATATTTGTATGTTATTATTTTAGTTAGTGTGCTAAATAACTAAATGAACTACAGTACTTAACAGGGAAATTTCATTTCACTGAAACACCTGTCAACATATTCTACATGATTTAAACCAGATATTCAGTAACTTGCATGAAAAGTTAAGTATGATGAATTATATTGTTCTCTAAGTTCTTGTCTACTGGAAAGAAAGAGATGCAAAATTTTTGGAGGTTACTAACATAAAAGGAGACTGGAGACTTCCAGTTGCATTCTGAAAATTGAAGCATTTACCCATTAATCACTCCTTGGAAATGCAAATAATGGGGTTTGAGTCTTTCACTGTCTTACATCCAAGACTTCAGTTCACACTTTCTCCCTTTAGGTCTAGCCCAAATATGTTAACATGAATAAATAGATTCATATAAAAGTCACTTACACCAGTGTGTTGCTTATGACATTAGCTGTCAAGAACATGAAAAGTCAACAATGTATTTCAATTTGAAGGGATTGTTAATTTTTTCCTTTACAGAATGTTTCTTTTGTAAACAATAATATCAGGCAATATATATGCATTAATATTTATTTAAACTGTTCTATATCTAACATACATTAGTACATATTCCTAGTTTTTACATCTTTAATGTTTTACAGAAGAAGTGATGACACATTTTTCAATGTGGTTTTGACCGAATATGTTTGGGTTAAAGTTAGATTTCATATTAATATAAGTACACACAGAGCCTTGGCACAGTTAATTTAAGGTATGCATATATAAAAGGAGGAGTGGAAAAGTTCAGCACAACACAACGTATTGTTCTCTGATTTATCAAACCAAACATTGTGTAATTGATTAAAGGGAGTTCATTTTTCAGCATGTAGGCAAGGATTTTAGAATTATTAAATTCCACGCTTTTTTTCTTTCTGTAGGTAGAAAGGGAATAAGGACATTATTACTGCATGGTCTGTCAGGTTTTCAGCTTTGCATGAACCACTTGTTAAATTGATCGAGTACGATACTCCCTCTGTTTCCATGGGAGAGTCTGCTGCTGTCTAAGCCCAGGTTGGCATCTCAGCAAAGCCACGGCTCCATGCACTCACTCAGTGACATTACTAGTTCTGTGCTTCGCACTGTTTAGAAACCCTGGCACCAAACATACGCTGCTGTCAGCTTCCCAGAGGCAGCCTATCTCTTTTGTGGGTAAATTGTGGCATGGATAAAGAGATCATTGAGAAGAACTGCAGCCAGGTTTTGAAGAGGAGGTTTCCCACCTCGACCACACCACTGCTCATCATCCCTGCACACTCCAGCACGGCACACTGGGGCTGGTGAGAGGCTGAGCCACTTGCACCTGCAGCCTCTGGCCAGCCAAAGGCAAGGTCAGCCCAAACACTTCCACACAGCAGGCATTAAGGAGCCTGGCAGAAAACATATTCATTGGATGAAATACATGTATTGCAAGCACACGCCTAGAGCCACTGCTGACCCTCAGTTAATAACTGTGCCATGACAGTGTGGAGGCACTGAGGAGTTCTGCAGCAGTTGTGCTAGGTCTAGGTAAGTATTTAGTATGCATTGCATTTATGTTGGTCATACTGAACATAAGCTTCCATGAGCAGTCTCATCACAGGCCTCTACACTGCTATCTAGAGTCCTCTAACCTCCCACTGTCTCTTAGAGTTTGGAAGTCTGGTTGTATCAAATTTAATTTACAATACCTCTGTAGACAGTGCTAACAAGTCACTATACTTCTATTTAAGCTTCTGCTCCTCTCTCACCCTTCTGGATGCCATGTGCATAACAGACTAATCATTAAAATACAGAAGATAAAACCTCTGTGAGGGGCTAGTGTCATAAAACTCTGGGACCCCATTGTCATCCATGAAATGAATTATCTGCACAGATAAACAGTGTTGTCACATACACAGCTACACTCTCTCATTAGCAAAGCTTCTCCAGTAGCCCAAATGTACATTATCTATGAAGCATATCAGCAAAGCTGCTTGGAACTGACTCACAGACAAATCTTGCAGTGAATCTGAAAGGGATCTCAAAGTTCAATTTCAGGCTGGGGATGTACTAAATGGAAAGGATTCCAGGTGATCCAGCAGAGATTTTATGATTTTAAAGCCTCCCACAGTTGTATTTCTAAAGTAAAAAATTTGACTTGTGATCTGTACAACACATAAAATACTTAATACATACTCTGTTTTTTTTTAAGGCATCTCATAAATTTATTGCAGTCTTATGGCATACCATTCAGATTGATTTATGGGGCACAGCTCAGATTTCTTATAGCTGAATTACCAAGCACAAACCAGGTACACCATCCCATTAAAAATGAATTTACTATCGGAACTGCACATTGAAAGTTAAATAATGGCTTGATTTTCAAGCTGAAACTGAAATATTTGCTTTTCTGTCAACTAATCCAAAACAGTCTATGAATAATTGCATTACCTTTGCTTTCAAAATGTTATTTATTTTCACTGAAGGTCATAGTCTTTGGGGAAAAAATACAGAATAATGAGCATTACTTTACATACTCTGACCTGCAGTGTCACCATTGTTACACCTTTGCACTGAAGGGTATGTCTATCTTGGAGGAAGAATTCAGTTAAGCTGTTGTTTTTTAAAAGGTCTATTTATTTTATTGTAAGGGAACTTTTATATAGGTATACACACAGAAACATGAATAGCTGTGATTCACATGAACTGCAAAGTGCAAAGTCACAAAATAGTTCTGGAACAACAAAATCTAGAAAAAAAAGTTCTTAGTCCCAGAGCATGACATCACAAGTTATGTTTAGCTCACGTTTCACAAGAAGTAATATGTTAGTAAATGTCCTAAAGGATGAGTAAAAAAAAATAAAAAATAAAAAAAAAAAAGAGGTTCGCTTTTTCATATTCTTTTTTTCCACCTGTCCAGCTTAGTATCATAAATTCAACTGTACAGACCTTTAAGGGAGAGATAAATGATCACAACAGAATGTGAAATGTTATAAGAATGCCCTAGTGTAGCTATTTCTCAATGTTTATGTTCTGCAACCTACAAGGACAAAAGCAAATACCCTAGAACAGTGAAAATGTAGGATCCCAGGCTGTTCAGCCAGTACAGACCTCATTTTTATTTCTAAAATTTTCTGAATGTTAACTTTATAATACATTTATGACTGAAGAAAACTTTGAAGGAAAGTTCTATATAATATTTTTCATCAGATGATATGGAAACTTTGCTTATCATTTACATAATGTACCAGAGGTGATAAAATAAGAAACTATTGGTTATGGATGCATACTGACTGGAGGAGTGGGGGGGGGGGGGGGGGGGGGGGGGGAGAGGGAGAGAGAGAGAGAGAGAAAGAAAGAACTTAAATAAACTCATCTCCTTCCCATTCTCATTTATTAGCAACTATTTATTTGATGAAACATCATGAAAATAATTCAGAATTATTTTTTTTTTTATCAATGCTGCAAGTTGTTGCAGATTATTTTATCAATCTTGCCCAACATACTTGTTCATCAAGGAATCTCTTGTGAACTGAAAATGAGTCCCTCACCTTCACACAGGGTCATGAAGCCTTGGAAGACCAGAGAAACTCATTATGTGGTTCTATTTACTATAGGCAATATGTATTAATACAGGCAATATGTATTTTGGTTTAGTTTTCCCTTGCAGACTGTCTCCTTTATCCCATTTTTAATCACAGAGGTTCATTTATCCCTATATGACACATACTCCAGTTCCATAAACCCCTATATCACTTTCAAGCACACGATGCCTGTTGACAGCTTACAAAATGGAGTAGGTGCTGGCTGAATGCAAGAGGACAAGTTGCCTCCCCACTTTGGTGCAACACAGCTGAATTATACTGAAACTGCACAGAGCCGTTAATCAGGTGAGTGGCATCCTTGCCACTTCTTGCTGGATTCTGCTGGCCTTTGGATGAAGTGCTTACGCTTCACAGAAGTACTTGTTTGAGTCTGCTTTTTTTCCCCTTTTAATTGGCATACATTCATCTGAGGCCTAAACCACCTAGCTGGTGTAAGAGGATGCTCTGTGTATAGAAAAAAAATAATCTGCACACTATGTGTGGAAAGAACAAGTTTAATTTCTGTGGGTTTTGTCTTATTTGGAAGAATCATATTAAAAATATGCAGAATCAGCATTGCCTGTTCAAACCATGACTATTCTTCATGCAGGTTTTCCTCATTTTGTTTCTGGAGTGGTCCTGTTCAGCTGTGCATTTGGAGAGCATTCTGGATTACTCATGTTGTGGTAGACATTCTGCAGTTCTACTGCCAGGTATTCTGTTGCCAGAAATAAATTTTATCTAATCACCTTCCTAGTGCAGGCCCTGGGATATGATTTGTTCTAGGGAATCAGGACATGGTGTTTGGAAGGAGACCATGCAAACAGAGGCCAAAAGCTGAAAGACTTTAGTGATAAAAGACTAGGAAAGAGTGAGTTACTAGACAATGGACTCCATAAAATGACACATCTGTCTCTATCTACAAGTGATACAGCATACAAAAGAACATTTATAAAAAGTGTAAGTGCTATGTACTTGCAGAGTACTGACTGCTTCTACCTCATTGATTTATTATAGCATTTGACAGTAGTTTCCCAGTAATGGATCATAGCTGCTTCATAGCTGCTAATAATAATTTTAAACTGCAATTGGAATGAAAACAAGACTTCTTCTCTTTAATCTGGTATGTGTGACATGTTACAGTAGATGTGATTTACTACTCATGTTGTGAATTACCATGATTGGCCAGTATTGGTGCAGTATGTGCTATAAAAACATACACAGAAGTAAACTATTTCATTCCCTTCCCTCTAGCTTTCCAGCTGTGCTGACAAGTAACTTTTATATGTTCTTACTCTTTTAAGAAATACTAATTGCTTGATTTTTGTTTTCTGAGCAATTAATTATATTAAATAATTAAAGAAAAAAAAAGCAAGAAAAAAAAAAGAAAAGATTTTACAATGCAAGGTGCATCAGCACTTAAAATTCCTGACAGTTTAGGCCATACAAATTGTTATTGCACATTCTTCTCAAAACACCTCATAAACACAAAAATTTTAAATGACTCTTTCATAATACTTAACAATAGCTATACAAGTCATTTAATTGGTGAACTTGACCAGTTCAGGTTTTGTGGGGAAAGTTGTTTCTGGGGCCCACAGAATCAAGTGTTCACCAGAACAAATTGTCAGTCAGTGGGCTCAAGCAAGTAATGTGAGATAATCAGTGAGAAAGGTCATGGACCACACCAATCACCATGCAAACAAAGGGTTAATTCATGCTCTATTTTCTCAACTTCTCTTTCCAAAACTTGCACCAATACTGAGGAGGAAATCTCAAAGAACAACTAGAAGGAGAGGAGAAAAATGGATTCCATGTTCAAAATTCAGTGGAGTAGCCTGTTTTCACATGTCCAAAGCTAAACAAACAACCAAAAAAAAAAAAAAAAAAGTAATGTTTTCAGGTATTTCATCTCATCTTTCTACCACCAACATAGCTATATATTCTTCCTGAAAGAAACTATAAAATAAGTTGGTCTCAATTTGAGGAGATAGACAGAGTTTCTGGGGTTCTTTCAAGCAGAGATTTAATACATACTTTAACATGGATTCCTGTTACTTTGAACAGTTTAGTGTTCTTAGAATAGGAAGCATACTCACCATGAATACTCAAAAAGAGATAGTAAGTTCATTTCAGAATTATATACAGAAATATTCATCCTAGATCTCAGCCTGTGAGATCCCATGAGCCTGTAACATTATTACTTTTTAAATTTTCTGTTTGCTTACGATGAGAAGGAGGGTCAATTTAGGCAAAGCGGATGGCAGCAGAGATTAGCAAAGGAGAACAGACACAGAATTATGGACCAGAATTTATATTCAGAAAATGAAGAAAAACAGACTGCCTTTGGTGACTAATGTGAGATACAGTTGAGCTGTACAAGAAAGAGAATATTTCATCACTCATCTTTTTCCTGGTATAATTTTGGTAGCTATTTTCCTAAATGGGTTCATCTTTTCTGCAGGTTCCAGCTCATTTTCAGAGGAACAGCCAAGTACTCCACATGGTCAGCACTGACACAACTCAGTTTTATATACACAGCCACCACTCATGTGAGAAAGAGCTCACATATTTGGGGATATACTAGGTATGCATTCTTCTACGTATCTTGTTTGTTGGTTTAAAAATAAGTGAGGTAACAGTCTGTAATAGGGGGTGTGGGGAGAAAATAATTACATTACTGCTCGAATCTCTCTTGCTTGCAATATGAGAGGGAGAGTTACCCTGTTTTCTCTGCTTAATTATCCAATTGTACTTTGAACTCTCATTTCATGCACTTGCAGAACAGATCCACACTTTCTCTGTTCTAATTTCTAATTGCTTTTTGGACTAGTTTTCCTTATGTGCAATTCATATCTTATGAAGCATTTTTGGGTGGAGAGAAACTGTACAACAGAGCCTATGTACAACCAATGAGAAATGAGCCATATGATCCTCTAAATTACTAATTCTGCTTATTAAGTAGAAAAGCAGAAATAGTAGTGATCCTGCTTTGCATGAAAGAATGTTTCTTTCTGCTTTAATTTCTTCTTGAAGTCAAACAAATGGTCTTTTCCTGTAATCCTGATTCAGTCATTAGAGTGGCAGGTGATTTTTTTCCAGGACCATGGAGAGTGCTTCCATTAGCCCTGAGGGGCATCCCTCCAGGCCCTGCGTGTGGCAGAAAGCATTTAAAGTAAATATGTATTTGCAAAGAAAAAGTCATATGTATGTGTATGTGTATGTATGTGTACATGCATGTGCATGTTGAAGCTGAAGCTGCTAAGCTGAAGACTAGATGAATGTGCAAGTGATTTATGTGTGAAATTCCCCTCAAGGAAATGTTTTATTTTTCTGGTTCTGTATACATTCCACACTTCTTGTAAGTTGTTCTTTGTCTGCAATGAAAAACGGTTTGCTTAAGGAGATTTTGATGGACATGTCAGTTTGTATGGATTTTTTGAAGTGGTATCCTGAAATAGGACTTTTAAATCTTTTGATAGCAGAAAAATAACTGAGTCCTCCTCTCCTCACACTGCATAGAAACACCTTGCCAGCCATTTACCTTTTCTTGTATCGCTTACATCTCTCATGTTTCTTGTAGCAACAGCAGCAATTGCACACAGACACAATTTTGCAGAAAGTGTAATGTGTTTTTATCTGGCAGCTACACTTGGCAGGCCTCTCTTAAGAGCCTTAGTAACTCTGTACATCCCATATGAAAACTTTTGTTTAAAAATCTATTAGTACAAAAAAAATGTATTTATATATATATATATATATATATATATATATATATAAAATGCGTATATGACTCTCAATTATTCCATTTTGGGAGGTATTTTTCTCAAGCAGTTTTCCTGATAGTGGTTTTCATAAGTAGTTGCAAAAATCTCTATACTGAAATGACATGATAAAGTCTTACAAACAGCATGAGTGTGTGTTAACATGCATGTTCAGCAATGTACAATCAGTTTTAAGTTGAAAAATATATTTCAGATCACTTTACATCTCACTGATCAATTGTGAAGATTAGCTTTGAGAGCTTAAGTGTTTCCTGCTTTTCAGTGGGTTATGAGAATAAACTGTACAGAGCCAATGCACAGTGCAATTCCTTTCAATACATTCTCATAAAAGAGATTGTAGTTATAAAGAGAAAGTTATAAGGAGAGACAAGTTCAAGAGCTGTTGTCTTCTCTTCTTTAACTGCCAAGTTTCTCGAATGCTTAGTTGGCTTTTTATCTCATACATGCCAGACAATTTATATTCCAGCAGACAAGATTCTTAAAGAAAAAGCACTTTGAGCAGAATATAATCAATTTACTAGTTAGGTGTCAAATAGTTGACTATTGAGACACAGGGAAAATACTAATTCCGAAAAAATGTAACAAGCAAAAGTGTAACTAAAAAAAAAAAAAAAGACAAATTTGAAAAAAAAATCTCCTTGTGTGTGTCTAACATATAAAAATACATTTGAAAACATAATATATGAATCAATTGGTATGTGGGTGGAGGATGGATAAGATGATCACTTTACATCTGTTCAACCATTACAAAATAGTATAATCATAGAATGGTTTGGGTTGGAAGGGACCTTAAAGATCATCTAGTTCGAACCCCCTGCCATGGGCAGGGACACCTCCCACTGGATGAGGTTGCTCAAAGCCTCATCCAATCTGGCTTTAAACACTTCCAGAGATGGGGCATCCCTGTGCCTCACCACCCTCAGGGTAAAGAATTTCTTTCTAATATCTAATATACCTACTTTATTTTAGTTTAAAGCCATTATACCTTCTTCTATTGCTACACCCTCTGACACCCCCTGACCCTTCTCCTAGCTTTTTCCCCTTTAGGTACTGGAAGGCTCCTAGAAGGTCTCCCTGGAGCCTTCTTTTCTCCAGACTGAACAACTCCAATTCCCTCAGCCTGTCTTTGTAGGAGAGGTGCTCCAGCCCTTTGATCATCATCATGGCCCTCCTCTGGACTCACATTTTCATGTCCTTCTTGTGTGGGATGGGGGGGCGGAGCTGAATTCAGTACACCCTTCACTTGCTGGACATAGTTCCTTTGATCCAACCCAGGATACAATTGGCTTTCTGGGCTGAAAGCTCACATTGCTGACTCATCCTGTCTGTAGGAACTTCACCAAACTGCCACAGCTTCTCAAAAATAGTGGCTTAGCACCTACATCCACCAGTTCCCTCAGGACATTCCTCCTTTATGATTCTCTGTGTATGAGAGTGGACACGTCCATGCATAAAACATTCTTCTCAAATCAGGATAAGACATGACAGGCATTTAATTACAGGTTTCTAGTGATTTGAAAGAGAATGTGTAAAACTGGACTCTAAGGGCAGCTGCAGAAAAGATTTTTTTTTTTCAAAAAAAAAAAAAAAGAAAATAGAATATTTCATAGTTAAAAAAATAAAATAAAATAAAATCTGAAAAAGTTCTAAAAGAATACCTGAAATTCCAGATCTTTTTCTAGGCTCTTGAGCAAAAAGGTCTTTGTAGTTGCTGGCATTAAAGAAATGCTATACAGCTTGAGCAAACCTAATGCCTCTATTCAAGGCTGTCTCAAAAGGATGAAACTAACTAAAAGATTAGTTGGAATCTGAGTTTTATACCAGAAATTCATGCATAACAGGATTCCCTTTAATAGTAAATGCTATTTAATATTATTGATGTGGGTGTTACAGTATGCAAAAGCATGTCACCTCCTTGAAGAGCTCTGTAATTCCTTTAGCAAGATGACTGTAAAGAAGTCCTCTCCCTCTTTGATAACTGGTCTCAGCTCAGAGAGAAGGCACAGATATTTTTTTTTCCCCTGTAAAGGCAGTTTACATAGAAGAGAGAGCACAAAGGACCTGTCTTATTTCCCTCCTACAGAAGCTTGATTTAACATATATATTCATAAATAATCTTTCTTTTTTGGAGTTTTTGACTCAGCTTTACTTATTTGGTATTTTCATGCACAATTCTGAGCAAGCAGCCCACCAATCCCCTTTTGTTGGGACTTCTTTGACTTCTAGGGATTTACATTTATCTCTGAGCTATATAGGTTCATCCCCCAAAACATACTTTTTGAGTCAGCTGTCCCAGAAAACAATAATAAGATATATTAAAAGCTGTGTAAAATGTTGTTACTGATTTCAGGGAGCAAATACATCTGTATAAATCAATATGACAATGCCTTGGACTCAGTAGCCATGTAGCTCACAGAGGACTAGAGCTTTCAAAAATGAAAATGAACCTGCAATTTTTTTTCTCTTTCTCTCAATTCCTGAATATTGGTTAACTCTGGGACTTGTTCAGACTGTAAATGAAATATCTGTTCTGGGACAACTGAAACATGGCAGGAAAATACGCACTTTGTTATTCAGAATTTTTGTATATGGTGAACAGATGCATACTTCTACTTATCTTTGTAGTTATTCTGCTTTTGTGCTACTTTCAAGAACCCTCAGATTCTGGAAACAGTTGCTTGATAGTAAATAATATATTTAATTCATTTTTTTCTCTCTTAGTTTTTTAATATAAATTCTCCTATTAATTCAATTTTTTTTTGTTGTTGTGTGTTTGTTTTTTTTCTTTAAAATATCTACAAAACCAATCTGACTCTCCTCTGTCAAACTAAGACCTGTTTAAAATATAACCATTTTTCTACTTAGCAGATGTAAACTTTCTCACTAGTCACTTCTTTGTATTTCCATTTCATTCTGAGCAAACAGTATTTGCAAGTTGTCAGTACTGCCTACAGTATCTCCCACTTTTCTTTTTAAATATTTTGGTATCATAGTCATGCATCTGAGAAAAACAACACCTGTTGCCAATGTACAGTACAGGACAGGTTTGCAGCTTTCAGCATATGCATGTGCACACACAAACCTGAATAGGCAGAATTTGTCTCTCTGCTTTGCAAACAAAACCACAGGATGGAGTTCCCATTCTGAGCATCTGGTTCTCCTCAAATACTGGCTTTCCTGCCTGTGAAGAGCAGACAGCAAAAAACTTTGGGAATCCTTTCGAATGCTTCAAAATGTAATTTTCCCTTGGTACTGTAAGAGGTGAAAAAATAAATTGTACTTTGAACTAGGTTCAACACAAGCATAAAGACTAGTCTTTGCTAGAGAGCTTCAAAAAATATTTTCCTTTTCTTCTGCATTTTAACTTACTTCTTCTCCGACACTCTCCCTCTCACTCTCCCTGTAAATATCTTTTTTTTTTTTTTTTCTCTGAAACTCCATAGTATAGTCATTTTCTTCATGTATGTTCCCTTACTGTGGGGTATAATTGAAGTAATCCTCTTGTCACCAATTAAAACTTCCTCCTTAGTGGGGAATTTGGTGGATACTTAGCCAGAAGAACACATTTTGTCAACAGCCCATTACATTTCCACATAGATACCAGCTCACTGACGTGGCATCTTGAACATCAACCTCATTCTTACATTTATTATCTACCATCTACTAGACTGAAACAGAATTTTAACCTTTTCATGTGAATAAAATACAGGCCACAGCCTCCAGTAGAAATGGTTTTGTGAAAAATGTTTTACTAAATGTCATAACAAGGAAAGATTGTTCTGTGGCTAACACACTGTACTGGC